AGAGAGGTAGGAGACAGGGGAGAGGGGTAGGAGACAGGGGAGAGAGGTAGGAGACAGGGGAGAGGGGTAGGAGACAGGGGAGAGGGGTAGGAGACAGGGTAGAGGGGTAGGAAACAGGGTAGAGAGGTAGGAGACAGGGGAGAGGGGTAGGGGATAGGGGAGAGATAAGTGGGAGTTATGAGGTTACATGTGTACGGTGAATGGTAAAAATATCTACATCCGCATCAAGCTAGTATCACACTTTTCAATATTGACATCACTCTATGGCTGTGGTGAGTAGCAAGCGTTTCTGTCGTCGACTGCCACTCATGTTATTATTATTATTATCATTATTATTAAATCTTTTTCATATTTTATATTACTTTTTTATGTTCCTGATTTTTCCTCTGCAGGTCTGACAATGAGTACCTGCAGTCCTACATCAAGCCTGAGCTCTCACGCCGCATCCTGCACACCTTCCTCGAGCAGTGCGCCAACAACGACATCGCCATGAGACAGATTCGCGACAGGATCATCGAGTGCGTGAAAGTCGCGAAGAAGGTTTGTTGCTTCCCGAAAATCTAATCAGCGTCAGCTGTGAGCATTAAAGAAAACATCTGGACTGAACCTACGGGTGTTGTAATAGCAGACTGTTGTGTTCTGAGGATAATGTCGCTACTCATGTATACACTGGCCACGTTACATCAAAAGTTGCACGTTTGCATGTTATAATTGGTGACCGTGACCGTAGGTTACATTTATGACTCTTACTGCGCCTTCATGTATATATATATATTAAGCTTGCTGATCACATGTTGTATTGGGAATTCTGTGTGAATATTGCAATAGCTGTATTTATATTTCAGTGGCAGTTGCGTGTAATGCTTGGCATTGAACATTCAAGAAAATTAAGTTGTTATATTTGCAATCATTCCCATATGGCCTTGAAAAACTAATGCAAGTAAACGCTGGGATAGCTATTATAAGGGAAGCCCCGAAATCAAACGAATTAATAGTTAACACCCATTCTTACATTTCACGCATAGAAAACAGTTAGTAGTGTAGTAATGCTACTGTGTAAGGTAAATAAATTATGCTGCTTGTATGTATTACTCCATCTTATTTTCAGGGAGGCAGGTCATGCATGACAGTGATTGACATAAACTCGGCAAGCTGTGACCTAGCAGATCTGCCAAAATACATCCTGTATGCCTTATTCAAATGTAAGCTATAGCAAAAACACTAGAACATTATGCTATCTTTAGGTTATTAGTCAGCTAGGATTATACTCTGTTGTTCCTGCTTGCAATTGAGTGCGTGTCCCCAAAGACAAAGTATTATTTTTAGTAACTATGTAGAAAGCCTGATGAATGTCAATAAACAACAGGGTATAAATAAATTTTTTTAGGGCCATTGTGCAATGTGCATACTATAATAGACATTTAACAAAACGCATAACTAGTAAATCCCAGGTTGTCGCGCATAACAGTGCATACTAGTGTTTTTGCATTTACTTGGGATAAGCGCGAAAAATCCATAATAAATTCACAAGGTGCTTTAAACCCTTGCACTCCTGAGTTTGAATCCTTTGAATTACAGGATAATTAATAATAATTTAAGGATAATTTGCGGATATATTTGAGTCTGGGATAATAACATGTCGAAGATTCTTGTTTCTGCAGCACAGTATCGTCTCAGCCGGCTGGAACCCGAACAGCTTCACACAAACCTTCGTCTCACACTGGACTGGAATTGTCCGGACATGGCCGTATCTCACATCTTCCAGAAACTCGGAGGAGGCAAAATCAAAGTGTGTTGTGTTACTTTACGCTATCCTTCAGTGCCATATTGATTTAGTTACCTATATCTTGCTTAGCCATATCTTCGGGTTATGTACTATCCGTGGCAATAAAAGCTTTTTATCCTTTATATGGGGTAAGTCATAACATTTACAAATATTGACTCCATGCGATAACTCACCCTTCACTTGACTGTGTACAGTCAATTGCTACTGTAACATGGTTCGCACAGTCCTTGAAAAGTCCTTGAATTTGAGGGGAGTTCTTGAAAAGTACTTGAATTTAGTAAATGTTGATTTTGTGCTTGAAAAGTGCTTGAATTTCATGAAAATGTCCTTGAATTTTTAGAAAGAATCCTTGCCTGTAATAAAAATAAATTTTGTACCATCAATAATGTGCAAACCTCAATAAAAATTGCGTTAAATGAGCTTAAAAAGCTATAGACACGATAGACAAATTATGTTAGAGATATTAACGATGATCACAAATTACAGTAAGTCAGTAAAATCAGTCAGTAAATCAAGGTATGTTGTAGAAGTGACAGTGTTTAGAAGGGTTTATTAATGTGATCCAGGTACGTTTTAGAGGTGACATGCAGTGATTAAGAATGAGGTTATTAAATTAATCCAGGTATGTTTTGTTCTGTGTATGAATTCCGATAAAATGTCTGATAAAATGTCCTTGAATTTCCGATAAAATGTCCTTGAAAAGTTCTTGAAAAGTCCTTGGAAAAAATTTCAGTCCTGTATGAACCATGTGTAAACAGCAATAATGTGGGCACATTGGTAGCATCGTGTCTCAGTGATATACATCCATGTTTCACAGATTAATAAGGAGCTCTTTGAATTGGCTCTACTGCGGAAGGACAGGGAAGACTTTATCGAGCTGTTTCTCGACCACGGCTTTAAGATCCACAAGTACCTCTCTCACAGGAAGCTTGAGTTGCTATTCGAGAAGGGTGAAGACCAGGGCTTCTTTCTCAACGTCTGCTGCGGGAGTATCCTCGGTTACCACGTCGTGAGTGTTTTCATAATCCTTCTATTTATTCATATACTCATCTGTTTATTTATTTAGTACATTTTTATTTGGGGACATCGTTTCACTGCTCTGTGTTCATCTCTATAGTTGCTATCACTATGTGGAAGCCATTTTGCTGTTATAAGGGCCAACGTCTCATCGAGTCGTGTCGGCTGAAAACAAAATTTAACGTGGATGCTGCATTGTTCCATTTAGTGAACCTTATTCTCAAGGGTAATTCTGCGGTTCCAGGAAAATAATATATGATGTCCCAATCGGAATTTATGCAATAATGCAGAGCCAAGCATAAAAAAGAAAGGGATGGCCTAAATTCATCACGTTGCCAACTCTTCGTTGAATTTGCCGTTGCAAACTTTAAATCTCGATATATTTGTAGGAGAGCCTGAAGGACAGCCAGGCGACGATTAACTACATGCTCAACTGTCTGACGGGCCTGAACTACAAGGTGGAATACCATGAGCTGTCGATGAATGTCTCTGGAGTGGAAACTCTTGAACAGTCGGCTGACAGTGCAGAGATGAAGGTTTGCCTGCTATCCATCTAAAGCAGAAAATTGTGTCTTGTATATTGCGTTATTTTAGTGATTATATGAGTTCAACAATTAATAGTAGGTGTTCCACTGTCTCTTTTTTATCGGGGTGCGATGAAAAAGAGACAGTGGAACACCTACTATGCTGTCCGATATATGGAAAACAAAGACGAAGTGTGTGGCTCAAAGTTAACGTTTTAACTTTTAACGTTGGAACTGATGTTAAGACTGATGTTAAGACTAATGTTAAGACTGTTGTTAAGACTGATGTTAAGACTAGTTCACTTTCTGACAATCGGCATGCGTCCCCCCATCTACCCTCTTGCAGGCACGTACCGTGCTAATCATGTGGGCAGTGCTGTTCAACCGGCCGAAGCTTGCCAAGGTGCTGTGGAAGCGTTCGGAGGAGCCACTCGTGCTCGCGCTTGTCTTGCACCGCATGTACAACATGTACGCCAAGTTCTACGTCGAGCCCCACCTCGTCAGTGAGATGAAGGCCATCGCAGCGTGAGTATCGTCGGTGGCGGCGGTGGCGTCGTTGCCGTTGTTAATATTGTTGTCATAGCCATTATTTTAGTTGTCTTTGTCATCGTCGTTGTTGTCGTCATCGTTGTCATTATTTATATTGTTGTCATATCTGTCGTTGTTGTCACTGTCATACATAGGTATGCTTGTGTGTATATATATATACAGTGGAACCCCAATTTTACGTGCCCCGATTTAACGCGAATTCAGATATAATGCGATGAGTTGTTGGACTTCCTTTTTTTGCTCTTATATATAGCCACGTATATATAACCCCGATTTAGTGCGATCCCGCTTGTTTCGCGATGGCGCTTTATGGACCCCAATCATCGCATTATAACAGGGCTACACTGTATATATATATACATATTTATTTATTTATTTATGTAAAGGGCAGTGGCGTACGTTTTGGGTGGGGAAGTTGCTATGTTATAAATGTGAATTTAACAAGTACGGCTTTTCTGTGTAGTGGCATTTTGTGTGGTTGCATCTTCTCAGATTCTCCTATTCATTTATTCACATACAGAGGATTTCAAGATTTGGCTGTAGGAATACTCGATATCAGTTGGATTGAATCTCCACACAGAACCCTACGAATGCTGAGTGCAGAACGAAAGTATTGGGAAAACTACTCCGTTATTCAGGTCGCCTACATTTCTGTAGCACGAAAATTCATAGGTGAGCTCCTGAGATTGGATAGACGACCTTTACTCCCAACTTAGCATCTGTTGGCTACTCTTATTCTAGGTCTACCAAACTTTATAAACTGCCTATGTTCTTAGCCCTCCACTACCACTATACCCACTCAGCGAGCGGGTTACTTTGACTGTTCTCGGGTAAGTGAAATGTGACATCAGCAGGCCAGTTAAACGCTCACTCGGGCATACACGGTTTGTCCTGGTTAACCTTGGTATCCCAGTCGAACACACAGTGTCTAAATATTCTTCCACACAAAAGCGTGGAAAACTTTTCCGGATGTGAACCTCAGAACGCAAGTTTTAGACAAGCAGGCATTTGTGTAGGCGTTCAAAATATGTTTTCATGCACAAATGCTTGCAAGGAATACTACTTTTATTAGATACATTGATGAACTGAATAATACAATTTCAATAATAAATATCTAATCACTTATTTTTTAATAACATTTAAAGCAGCTTTAATGTGTGGTAGGGCATGCCACAACCAGATTATGACCTCAAAAAGCACCACACCCGCCCTGGACGTAAACTCACGCGAGGAGAGTGAATTACTCGCGGTGTCTCTGTGGTTTTGCAGGCCACCCCTGCTGTCAGTCGTGGCTCACCGGCATCTACATGGGTGAAATAGAGGTGAAGAATCTCAAGTGGGGGCCGTTCGCGCTGCCGCAGCCGCTTAAAGTGTGGACCAGCGCGTTCCTCATCCTGCCAATGTACGTGTGGATCAACTTCAACACAAGGGAGAGCAAAGAAACGAGGAGAGCTGTCCAGCAGACAGATCTCGATGAGGGTATGTGTGCGCGAGGTCAGGTACTAACATTCTCCTGCTGTGTGCGTCATCACGCATGTGTGCGTTCGGTCACTAATGTAACATGTGTTATAGATCTCGTATTTTAGGAGCTATGCTACTTCATTGTGATTAGAAGCACAGTGTTTTGGTTTTCCGGGACTCGCTCCTGCCATGTGCATCGTCACGCATATAAACGGATTTCATTGATCTTGTCTTGCAGCTGACGGTGAGGACGAGGGAGAGTACACCGCGGAAATTGAAGATGACAAGACTGGCCCCAGCGATAGACTCAATAACCTTGAGATAGATGGCATCAACATGTCCCATGTATGAACGCACTCTGCCAGTTCACCATTCTGCTATATTTTAGCTTATATTAAATTATTTTAATTATAATATTTTACAGTTTTTTAGCTCATCTGACATAGTCAGATGCAGCTTGTAGAATCGCATGATCGTCCGTCCGTCCGTCCGTCAACAGTTGGGCACAAATCTTAACCGCTCGACGTACGGTCACGATATTCCGGCACATTGGGGGGAGTCGTCAAAACGAGTTGGGATGTCGAAGCTGGGGGGTCAAAGGTCAAAGGTCAAAGGTCAAGAGGTG